TAGGTTAGGTTAGATTATTAGAATCTCATCCTTGTTCTTCCACAACGATATTCCTCTCCTATTTTCTTTGTTCTTTTTACGTTCGATATATTCCTTTTGTTTTAAGAATTAAGTAAGGTTAGGTTGGGTTAGGTTATAGGAGAAGATTTTCCTTTCTCGTTTTCATCGTAGTTTTTCCTTTTACTTATACGAATAATGTTTGTCGTGCAAAGATATTTGTATCCTTTCTCAATTTTCCTTGTTTGTTCTCTTTGCGTTTCATATATTCCTTTTTCTCTTTTCAATTTTAAGGTTAGATTAGATTAGTTAGATTTTCCTTGTTCTCTTTGCGTTTATTACATTTCTTTTTCCCTTTTCTCTTTTAAGATTAGGTTAGGTTATATTATTAGAGTCTCATCTCTGTTCTTTCACAAAGATATTCCTTCTCTCCTATTTTCCTTATTCTCTTTACGTTTTTATATTCTTTTTCCTCTGTGTTTTAAGAATTAGGTTAGATTATCAGTATCTCATCTCTGTTCTTCCACAAATATATCCCTTCTCTCAATTTTCCTTTTCCTTCGTTCTCTTCGCGTTCGATATGTTCCTTTCGTTTCAAGTATTAGGAATAGAAGATACGAATTATCGAATCGAAAGTGGGATAAATTCCCCCCACCCCTCTTCCCCCTTGTATACCTTAAATACGATTTCCAGAAATACCGAGTCCCCTAGAACAAGCCCTAAGAAACAAAGGTGGGGAAAAAAAACGTGTAAAAAGAAGGGGAGGAAGAGAAAAAGAGAGAGAGAAAAAAAACCACGTGGTACGCGATTCACGGTGGTGGAAGAAAACGAGATTCGAAAGAGAGGCAAGGTCCCGCGAGCGAGATCCGGTTTCGATGAACGGCGAGCGGAACGCCAGAGAGGGGCAGATAATAAAAGGAAAATGGGTAGGTAACGCTGAAAGTCAAGGGTTGGGGGGAAGGGACGCGACCCCGACTCGGCTCAACACCGGCCAACAATGCGCCCGATAGAGAAGCGGCGGCCGCGAGCCGTGGTCCCGGTTACGCAGATAACGCGCCCTCCGTCGTCTCCCCCTTCCCCTTCCCTCGTCCCTTCCTTTTCCCTCCCCTCGTCTTTTCACACGTTCACATCGGCATTAATTCCAATTTTTCGCCCCCCCCCTCCCCCCCCCCTCCCTGATGAACTCTCTCACTCGTCCATTAGACGATCCTTGATCATAACTTTCTCCTTATTTGTCGTTATTTCCAAACAATTTTTCGACACACGATCGATTTTCGTGGGAACCGATCGCACTGGATCGAAGATTATTTCGAGCTATGCATTGATATGAAGGAGAGAGAGAGAGAGAGAGAGAGAGAGAGAGAGAGAGAGAGAGAGAGAGAGAGAGAAGCGGGTCAATCTTTGTTTCTCCAGAGATAATGCAATAATAATAATAATAATAATTACTGCGTTCACTGTTGGAACAATAACAATAATAACGGAAGAGTAGTTAATAACTTGAATATATTCAAAATCGTAGAAATTATTTGTATTACTCGTGTATTACTCGGGGTTCTTTATCTCAACGAGAAAATTTTTATATCGTTATATTATATATATACGTTAGAATTTTCTGCCTGATTTACGCTGATCGAGATTTAGAACGTAGTATTGATATACGTGATCGAATTATATCGATCGTTCGACCAATCAAACTAGTAAGAGAAATTTTTTCTATGACGTCGATTAAAAAAATGGAGCGTCGTGTTCTCCTCTATCTCCGTCGTTCCATCGATATCCTCGAATCGCGGAAGCGACCTATCCAACGGTTCTCTCCTCCTTTAGATAGACGCTGATTAGACCTGTAGACCTCGTATTCCCCTCTTTCTCTCTCTCTCTCTCTCTGTCTTTCTCTTTCTCCCTATTCGAGCGCGTCGATAAATTATCCGAGGTTAACAGGTGAGCGCGAACGACAGACGGCGTTAATAACGACACCGATAAACGCGTCAATAATACGCGAGCAGGCAACGTATTAAACGATCGCCAACTCTCCTCGAACGCGACACGCGACGCGTCCGACGGAGAATATTTCCCTTTTGGATTTGGGTTAACCTCCCCCTCCTCCCCCCTCCACCTTCTCTGCGCTCTTCTTCGTAACGGCCTACCTACATTCCTACCTTAACGCTACACGCTCGCCGTCTCGATTTTACGTTTTTCCAGCCTCCAATGATCGATCGAGGAATTAGGCCCGTTGACTACTCGAAATCCGGTTACCGATAGAGCAGTAGCATAGAAGAACTCGGCGCATGTCGGGTTACGTCGAGCCACGATTACTTCTCAATACTTTCTCCTCGCCGCGCCGTGTCCCCGTTTCGCGATGCTCTTTAGAGGCTACTCCTGTGCTCGCTACTACTGCTCTACGCGAAATTTCTCGACGACGAGATCGAGATGGACTTTTTTTTCCCCTTTACATCGACTTCTTGCTGGATACATTTTACGTTCGAGTAATTGGAAATCCAGAGAAGTACTATATATATATATATAGAGAGAGAGAGAGAGAGAGAGAATATTTAAATCTATTGCAAATTTAAAAACTACGATATCCATTAGACGGATGGAATGGATGGATGGAAAAGCTGAATGCGTCGCTTTCCACGTGGATTTCTCTGCGTGGTTGAGTTGAGAAGGGAAGGAAAGAGAGTTATATACGCATGGTCAATTACTTGGTTAATAGGGAGCAAGGTAGTCGTCGGCGAAAAGCATGCGAGTAGGTTGTGCTCTCCCTCCGTCGAGGCAAAGGGAATTGCATCGCATGCCGCATAATCGTGGGAGTGTTTCCCATCGAGGTACACGTATATATATATACAACTCACCGTCGTAATGCCTTGCCGCATAAATACATCCGCGGCGTGGATTTGCAACGCTCTATGGCTCTATGGGCCTCGAACGAGAAACAGAGGGCCTCGCGATCGTGCCGAAATATCGGACGATTCTAACGGTAATTACGATGTCGTCGCGTTATCGTTCTCGTGCTCGATCGATCGGAGAACGACGCGTCAAGGGGAAGGGGAGATCGAGAAAAACGACGACGAAATTATTTTTTTTCCCCGCTTTTGAGATTTAATTTCTAGATAGTTTTTTTGTTTTGTATCGTTTCGTATATAACATAAGAGTAATATATATAGGACAAATTAATTAAAATTATGTAATGTAAGCGTACGAGTATATAGGAAAAATATATAGGATATATAAAATAGGAAAAATCAACGTTGCATTTAGTTAATATATAAAATAGAAAAAGAATTGAATTCTTAAGAAGCATAGTGGTTCGAATGGGAGCTAATTGGACGAAATTATTTTTTTCCCCCCCGTTTTTGGAATCGTACCGGTTTTTATTATAATTTATCGTTTCGTTAAAAGAACACGAGTAAATATATATAGGAAAAATTAATGTTGCATATCGATATTTGCGATTCGAATTCATAAGTAATGCAAAATATCTTGGATGTAACTTCGAATTTGATAAACGATAAACTGGACCTCGAGAATCGTATATCAAGAGATATCCCCGTCAATCCTATCCTATAATAGATATTTTTAAAGGTGATCTAAACGATGACAATTCAACGAAATAACGATAGAAACGTTATATTATAATATAAGACAGTTTAAAATTAATCCATAAATACGAATGACTAGATTAAAGAATCCGGGAGCAAATTTTTTTAATTTCAATACAAAAGTTTCTCAAAATTTTTCGAATCGAAAAAGAAAAAAGTTTCTACATTTTCGACATTTCTCATTTCTCATTGCGCGAAATGACGGGTTAAAAATCATTCGAAATAATTACTCAACTTCGAGTTTAATCGACAAAAAAACTTATCGATAATTCGAATCGAAACTCGACCCGACCCCTTTCAAAATTCAAAATCTCAATTCGAGTACAATCGAAACGATCCTTTTTCCCCCTTTTTTTTCTCTCTCTCTCTCTCTCCCGCACACGTTCGAAAATGAATTTATCCCGCCCAGTGAGACGCGTCCGAGCGTCACCGAGTATATATGCACTCGGGAGAAAGCCGAAGCGCGCTCGATCTCTAACCCGCGATGCTTGGACGCGCTTCGTGCCCCCGTTCTCCACCGTTTCATCCCAACAATTAGACGCGTCTAAAAACCGAGATGAATCTCTCTCGTCGATCGATATACACGATATATTCCTTTCAAATTTCTTCCTTTCCTTTCCACAGAGGGACACTTTTTTCGCGCCAAAAAGAGGTCGGGCGACCAAGAAAAAAGAGAGAGAGAGAGAGAAAGAGAGAAAGAAGAGGGGGAAGCTAGGATTACCGCAAGGCGAGTAAGGCCTCCCTCTCCAAGCGTAGGACGAAAATAAATTATCCCTGCGTATCTACGCGCATCCAACCACCCCCCCCACCCCCCTCTTCTTCTCGATATCCACGCGATCGAGAATTCAGAGATCGGACGAGCGTTACACGGATCCGTTCGAGGGATAACGATAAGATTCACGGAAGGAAGGGAGAGGAACGATTGGAGAGCGACAGGTGTTTCGTGAAAACGTTCGATCGGTGGGATCAGAAGGGGGAGCGATTCATTGTCTTCGATGACGATCGGCGAATCCCCTCGTGTCTCCTCGTTTGCAGAGAGGATGACAGCCCCCCTCCTCCGTCGATAACATATCTCTTTCTCTCTCTCTCTCTCTCTCTCTCTCTCGATCAGACGAAGCAACGGGAAAGCGAGGAGATTCAGGCGGACTTCTCTTCCGGCGGGCCCCCTTTCTCCGTCGAACCCGCCATTTACGGAAACCTCTATCCGGACGTTTCCTCCTCCCCCATTATTCCCCCCTCCCTCCCGTCTTCACTATTATCATTACACTTGAAACTTTCCCACCCAAATGGAATGGAAAAATGTATAAATTTGGGGAAGGCGACATCCCTATATATTTCTGATAGAAGAAGAAAGAAAGAAAGAAAGAAAGAAGAGAAAGAAGAGAAAGGGGAAAGGGGTCTGACCTGTGGTGAAGAGGACGATGGCCTTGAGGCAGCTGTACTCGGCGGAGTCTACGTGGAGGGCCTTCAGCTTCTCGACTTGCTCCTGAAAGATCCTGATGTGGTCCATGAAGGCGACGACGCGGTCCGCGGCCATCGGGGACGCGTGGAGGCCCGCCGCGGCGAGGAGGGGCGCCACGTGGAGCGGCATCGAGCACTGGCTCGCGTTCAGCACGAACAGCTCGCTCCACACTAGCCTGAGGAGGGCTACCTGGTCGGTGACCTGGAGGTCGGGGAAGAACGGGATGTTCCTTGCCCACTCGACCGCCGAGAATAGGAGGCGGGCGGCCAGCTCGCATATGTTGTCGATCCCCATGATGTTGTTGGGCTGCATGCACTGGCCGTAGCGCGAGGTCGGGTACGGTTCCGCCCTGAGGAGGAGGCTTATGTACGAGGACAGGTACGAGTGGCCGTTGAGGCTCGCGCACGCCACGGCGTCCCCGTTCGTCAGGGCGAACTGGCCCGGCAAACCTGGTAGCGACGGCTGCGACGGCGGCACTCGTCCCCTTTGCACCGCTGCAACACACCAAAATTCGTTCTCTTAATTATTCGTTCGCACCTTTCTCTCGAGTCTTTCTCTCTTTTTTTCGTCTTTTTAATTATTATANTTAATTATTATACCTTTTTCTCTTTTTTTTTTGTTTTTTTAATTATTCGTTTATATCTTTTTAATTATTTCTTTTCTTTTTTTAATTATTTCCTTTCTTTTTTTAATTATTCGAAAGATCGTGGGAATCTGGGATTTTTTCGTTTTTTTAATTATCATATCTTTTTCTCTTTTTTTTTTTCGTTTTCCATTCGAGAGATCGCGGGAATTTGGGATTTTTTCGTTTTTTTAATTATTATACCTTTTTCTCTTTTTTTTTTGTTTTTTTAATTATTCGTTTATATCTTTTTAATTATTTCTTTTCTTTTTTTAATTATTCGTTAATTATTCGAGAAATCGTGGGAATTTGGGATTTTTTCGTCTTTTTTAATTATTCGTTTATATCTTTTTAATTATTTCTTTCCTTTTTTTAATTATTCGTATTTATATCTTTCTCGAGTCTTTTTCTCTTTTTTTCGCTTTTGTTTCGCGAGAAGAGATAGGAGAGGGGGGAGAGGGAGAGGTTGTCTCGGGCTCCCTTCGGTTGTTCTTCTTCGGGGCCAGGGCTCGACACCCCGCTGGGCAGCGCTTGAATTCCAACATCCTCTCTCTCGAGACATCGTGTATCCTTCCTCCCTCTTTATATAGAATAGCGAAATTCGGGATTCGGATTTTCTAAGTCCTTTGGATAAGTTTACTCTACTCGGGGAGGGAAAAGATCGGTATTGGAGAATTAGTAATGATCGTGGAATTAAAAAGGGAAAAATTGTATTGTATTGGAGAGAGATTATGGAAATGGGGATTTTGGGAGTTGAAAATGGCAAAATTTCACGTTTCTTTCTTTCTTTTAATTATTCGAAAGCAAAAAATCGCTATTCCAGAGAATTTGGATTTATTAGAGAATTATTAATTAAAAAGGGAATTAAAAAGGGGGAAATTGTTATTGGAGAGAGATTATAGGGATTTGGGAGTTGAAAATGGCAAGATTTCACATTTGTTTCTTTCTTTCTATTCTATTCGAAATTCTATTCTACTCGAAGAGAAAAAATCGCTATTCGAGGGATCGTGGAAATGGGAATTTGGAATTTAAGAATAGGAAAATTTAGACTTCAGATTTCCTCCTTCGCTTCCTTTTCACATTGGAAAATTATTAACATGAAATTAAAAGGAAAAGATCGTTAATCGAGAGATCGGAATTTGGATTTATTCAAAAATTAATTCGTGAAATTAAAAGGAAAAAATCGTTATTCGAAAGATGGTGGAAATGAGAATTTAAAATTTAAGAAAAGTTCACATTTCCTTTTACTCGAAGAGAAATAAACGCTATTTCAGAGATCGTGGAATTTGGATTTATTGGAGAATTACTAATTCGTGAAATTAAAATAAAAAAAATTGTTATTTGAGAGATTATGGAAATGGAAATTTAGGAATTGAAAATGGCAAAATTTCACATTTCCTTCTTCCTTTCGTTAATTCTATTCTACTCGAAGAAAAAAAATCGTATTCGAGATCGTGGAAATAAAAATTTAGAATTCAGATTTTTCTCCTTCGCTTTCTTCTTATATTGGAAAATTATTAATTTGAAATTAAAAAAGTCATTATTCGAGAGATCGTGGAATTTGGATTTATTGAAGAATTACTAATTCGCGAAATTAAAAAAAAAAAATCGCTATTCAAGGGATCATGGAAATTTGGAATTCAGAATTCAAATTTTCATTCTTTTCTTTTTACATTGAAAAATTATGAATTCGTGAGATTGGGATATAAGAGCACATCACTCGAACAGAAAAAATCGCCATTCGAGAGATCGTGGAAATGGGAATTCGGGATTTGAAAATGGCAAAATTTCACATTTCCTCCTTCCTTTCGTTAATTCTATTCTATTCTGTTCTATTCCATTCGAAAGGAAAAAAGCGCTATTCAAGAAATCGTGGAAATGAGAATTTGAAATTCAGATTTTCTCCTTCGTTTCCTTCTTATATTGAAAAATTACTAATTCGTGAAATTAAAAGGAAAAAATCGTTATTCGAAAGATGGTGGAAATAAGAATTTGAAATTTAAGAAAATTTCACATTTCCTTCTACTCGAAGAGAAAAAATCGCTATTCGAGAGATCGTGGAATTTAAATTTCCTCCTTCGCTTCCTTTTTTACATTGGAAAATTACTAACTCGTGATACAATTGTCATACAATACCGTATTGTTCGAAAGGAAAAAATCGTTATTCAAGAAATCGTGAAAATTTTGGAATTTAAAAATAGCGAAATTTATACTTCACGTTTCCTCCTTCGCTCCCTTTTCCCCTTTTACAAAATTACTAACTCATATATACATATAATAGCACATTGCTCGAAGGGGAAAAAATCGTTCGAGGAAATGGGAATTCGAAATTTAAAAATAGAAAAATATACACTTTACATCCCCTTCCATTGGCTTCCTTTCGCCAACTCGTGAGACATTCATTTATATTCGTATACTTCATCTATTACTCTTACTCTTACGAACGGGGAAAAAAAATCGTGATTCGAGATGGTGGAAATTATTCGAAGTATTAAAAATGATCGGCATCGATCTCTCGATCGAACGAGGTTTCCCTTGCGATCGAGCGAGAGACTCTGTTATTTGGTTGGGTCGCCGGTGTAGGAGCGCGGGATACCGTTACCGTGGCCGGCCCGAACACGGATACTCGTTTCGTGGCTCGTTCGAGCGGAAAATAATCCGCTCGTGGAAATTCGTAGCCGGATAATCGGACGAGAGAAACGGTTTTACTCTCGAAACATACGTGAGGGAGGAGGAGTTTGAATTTCGCGCGTTTTCTATCCGTTGTAACGGTGAAAATAGAAAAGCGAAAGAAAGAAAAGCAGAGAGAAAGAGAGAGAAGAAAAAATTCGCATTAAGAACGGAGGAGTTTGAATTTCGCGCGTTTTCTATCCGTTGTAACGGTGGAAATAGAAAAGCGAAGGAAAAAAAAGCAGAGAGAAAGAGAGAGAAGAAAAAATTCGCATTAACAACGGAGGAGTTTGAATTTCGCGCGTTTTCTATCCGTTGTAACGGTGAAAATAGAAAAGCGAAGGAAAGAAAAGCAGAGAAAAAGAAAGAGAAGAAAAAATTTGCATTAAGAACGGAGGAGTTTGAATTTCGCGCGTTTTCTATCCGTTGTAACGGTGAAAATAGAAAAGCGAAGGAAAGAAAAGAGAGAGAGAGAGAAGAAAAAATTCGCATTAAGAACATTCGTGCCCGTAAAAAAGATTCGAGGTTCGATATAAAACAAAATATTTGTTTAAACTATTCGCGAATTCGCGTATTGAGCGGAGAGAGTGAGAAACGTGGAATCGAGGAATTCCCTGTCCGTTCCCGCGCATATGGATACGTAATAAATTTATAAATGAATGTATTTTAATTTTATTCGCGTATAACGTTCGTAAAAGGCCTAGCTTTTGTCCGCGCCTCGAGGATTACGACTCAGAGCGAATGCGTGCGTATAAGCGAGGAGAATGAATTCAATATTTGCCTACAATTTTGTAACAACCATTTATTTACAACCCTGCGCAATATTTTTCCTTCCACTCTTTCGATTATTGTAGATTAAACCCCCCTTCCCCCTCCTCCCTTAATAGATTTCTCACGTTACACGTATCGCTCGAAGCTTTCGGAAAAAACACTTGGAGGAAGAAATATATATATATATATATATATATATAACGATTTTTTCCTTTTAATCTCAAAAGTTTTAAAAAAAAAACACTTTATTTGGAAGAAGAAATATTTGTATATTTATATATATAACGATTTTTTCCTTTTGATTTCACGAATTAGTAATTTTCCAATGTGAAAAGAATATATATATATATACATATTTTCTCTCGTTCGAGGAGAGGAAAATTACCGAAAAGAAGAGGAGAGAGAAAAAACGCGACGCGAGCGCAACGACGACGACAATAACAACAAAGTCTAATTCGACTCGACTAACGACAACGTCCCCCCCTCCTCTCCTCGTGACTTCTGTTGTCGAAGGAAGGAAGGAGGGAAGGGGGCGGAGAGGGAGGTCGAAGGTCGGCCGATAACCGTCGGTCCGCCATTAATCGTTATCGGCCGCTTGCTTACTTATTTTTTGTCCCGAAAAATGGGGCGAGGGAGAGGGGGAAGGGAGGGAGGGAGGCCGGTTCACGGTTATCGCGGGACGGTCGCCGCGAATCGGCGCGAAAACACACTCTCTCGTGAAGAAACTCTCGGGAAGAACTCGAGACTCGGGGCGAGAAAAAAAAAAAAAAGAAAAAAAAAGCGTGTCTCGACAAGCGTACATTACAAACGCGATAAACGGTTTATCTTCGACGCCGGCGTGTCAAAGTCCAGAAGAATTCTTTTTCCATATTCCCCGGAATATTCCTTCTCCTTCTCCTCCTTCAAATTTTCTATCCTCGAAATCTCGAAGAGGAGGAGAAAGAAGATGATTTTCGCGAGTGGAAATTCATTCTTGCGCGATCCCTGCGAGAGGATATTGTTGACATGGAGGGGGAAGGCATAGAGAAATCGTCGGACGTGGATAGATGATGGCGACGCGGTGAGGGAACGAAGCGGTCAAGCGATCGAGGGAGGGGAGGGGAAGGAGGAGAAGGAGAAAGACTCTCCCCGCTCCCCACTCCACTCCGCGGAGAGAAATAGTCCCTCGCGACGACTACACGGAACGTCGAAATAATTGCTCGATCGATCGATCCGCGAAATATAAATATAAACTTGGTTGGAAAATCGTTTCGGTTGGGTGGAGGGGAAGAAGGGGAGAGGATCCGATCGGGAAGAGGATAGGTAGATTGGAAGGATTATTCGGAGGAATTCCATTGCAAAAATTTCACGGTGTATCGGGAGGAGTTAAAGTTCAATAGGCGGATCCGACCCGCGCGCGGGCTCTCGTCACGCTCGAACGGTCGCGCGCTC